GAGGGAGGGATGGGGGGGGTTCCTGCTGATTTCAGAATGCTCTTAATACCTATCTAGTTAAGTCTACTTAAAACTCCCATTGCCGTAGAAGAGCAAAGACACCTTTACTGTGGCCCTCAAATCCTTGGTCATCTGGCCCCAGGTTTTCCCTGGTCCTGCCTAAATTCTTTGTGCCCACACTCAAAACTCATTGCTGTCAGGTCAGACCCGACTTATAACTGACCTTCCAGTAGGTTTTCCAAGACTGTAAATCGCATGGAAGGAGATTGCCCACGTTGGTTCACTCCTTTTTGCCCACAGTCTGACATAAACTGCCTTCACTTCCACCTAGAACAGGCCTCCTTGCCCCTCCACTGCCTCTGTTAATGCTCTTTCATCTTTTCAGGCTCTTCCTCACTGAGCCCCTCTTAAACTAGGTCAGCCTTTTTAGCCCCCGCTTTGTGCCTGATTCCATGGCCCCATGCTTGCCTTCCTGGCCTTTATGCTGTTGCTTCTCAGTCCATACTTGCTCTGTGTCTCTCATGCTGGGCTCTTATACCACAGGAGGGCAAGCAAGGTTGTGTCAATCCTGGTCCCCCTTTCCACACCCCCAGTTTCCCCGCAGAGCGAAGCCCAAAGGATGTTTGTAGAATGGTGGGGACTTCCAGTTCAGGGCAGGGACTCACACTGGCTTGTTCTTTCTCAGGCCTGCTGTCCCTCCTGTACCTGCCAACGGGATTCTTCTCCCTGGCCCGGGGTGGCTGTCCCTCCTTGTCCACCGAGCTGTTGCTCCTGTTGCAGCCATTGTCAGTGCTCACCTTTCACTTGGACCTGCTCTTCGAGCACCACCATCACCTGCCCCTGGGCCCGCCTCAGGTCCCTGCACCACCAAGTCCCCCTCCCGCTCTACAGCAGACAGTGCAGGCCCTGCTACACTGGGGGGGCCGGCTGGCACAGAGCCTCCGGGGAAGTTCCGAGGAGGCTCCTCTGGGCCCTGCAGCCCCCTCAAGCCACACATCTTCCCCAAGCCCCACATCTTCCCAAAGTCCATCATTCCACCCAGATCCTCCTGCGTTGGGCAGCTGGTGGGAGCAGCTGACTCAGGCCTCCAGAGTCTATGCCTCTGGGGGTGTGGAGGGCTTCGCCCTTCCCCGATGGGGGCCCAGGCGCCATGGGGCTGCAGCTGAGGGCGGACAAGAGAGACCCTTGCCCACAGAAGCAGCAGCCTCAGGCAGAGGTGTGTGGCTGGGGCGACTGTTTGGGGTGCCTGGAGGAGGCCCCATGGAGACGGAGAATGCAGCCCTCAAGTCCAGGTGAGCCTGGTCTCTCACTGATTTCATAACCCAGAGGCTCTGGGGCCTTAATTTGGTATTCTTTTGTGCTCCTCCGGGGTCGGTCAAGATTTGTAGTCTGTTTCCTAGAGTCATTAACCAAAAATAGTAAATACATTTTCAATAGTTATATTTTATCTATGTGTTGGCTGGAGCTTCCCAACTAAATCAAGCCTGGAAGCAGGAGCGGCATCCACTTCCGAAATGGCTTGCCTCCGGAAACTCTATGTACGAACAGTGCTCAGGCCGTTCGTTCATACGGTCGCTATGAGTCATCTATGACGCTGACGGCATCAAACAACAACAACATTATTATGGTTACATGGTTATATAACATTCATGACTTTGCCTCTTATTAAGTTTACATAACTTTGCCCCGTGTTGGCCCTGCTATATATTTACAAGCATATACTAGTATGAATGAAGAATTACTTGCCAGACTTATATATGGTTATGTCCGTATCTGTTTGTCTTGCCTGTCTGCCTATATATCTTCTTGTAGATGAACATTATTATTGTTGACATTGCAGGATTATGTACGTAATAGTGCTTACCTTTGCTGGATATATTTCTGGTGCACTTCTCTGTGTCTCCTCTAATGATACAGTGCTGGCCATCCCTTTATCATACATCTTCTCAGTGTGTCTATTTACTGATTTTCACTTTCTCCCTTTCCCATCCCTGGTAACCATCCAAGGGAGTCTATGTATAAACCTTTCTATAGCTTTTTACAATATTGGATTCATATGCCTTTTAACTCCAAAAGCCTAAAACAGATGAATTATTTTCTATCTGATCCTCTTAAGAAAAAGCTTGGCTATTCTTGGTCCTGGGCATGACTAGTGATCTGAAGTGTCCCCTAGTGACTCTCTAGATCTCTGAGTCTGGATAGACCCTGCCAGTTCCACAGGGTTGCTTGTATGACATCTGGCATGAAGACCCTTGTCACTTCCTTAATCATCCAAAAGGTATCTGTGTTCTACAGCTGCTGATTGCCCCTCAGTGGTGACCAACTCCTGACCTCTGCTGGGCAGTGCAGCCCTTCGGCCATTCCCTCCTTCTTTGGGTTCTTTATCTGGAGGTGAGTGAACCTTTCAAAGTCTCTCTCCTTCCCTCCAGGAGACCGTCCAGTTGGTTGCCTCCCACAGTGAGTGTGTTTGCTCTGGTCAAACGAGGGGCACCTCCTGAGACACCTTCGCCACCTGAAGAGCTTGAAGTCTCACCTCCCAGCCCAGTGCAGGCCCACAGGTGAGGAGGAGGGGGCAGATGCACTGGTGTGCAATGGTGTGTGTATTTCAGAGTGGTCAGGGGCTTTACAGGTAGATTCATTTGTTAGAAGTATGTAGTTTGCATCACATCTTTGCTACTTACTTTTGTGACAGATTTCTCTAAGCTTTAGTTTATCTGTTAAAAAGGGGATAAGTATACCCTTTTACAGGATGGCTTATGAAAATGAAAAGCATCTGGCACTTACCAGGTGCCCAGCTAATGGCCAACACGTACACATGCTCCTGTGAGTTCCCGGTGAAGGATGTCACCTTTTTTTCGTGGCTCTTCTACTCTGGAACCTTGTGCTGCTTCTATTTTAGGGTTTTGCTTTCCTTGGCTTAGCTCAGCCCACTGAAGTAAGCCTCTTGATTTTTCATTCATTCAGCAGTATTTTTAGAGTGTTTGCTATGTGACAAGTGTCATTTAAGAGGGGATTTATAGGTAAACATCCTGGAGTCTCTGCCCTGCCCTCAAGGAGCTAGGAGACCAGTGAGCGATGCTGATGGTCTTGTGTGGTAAAGACTCTGGAAAAAGAAGACTGAGCCCTTTGGGGCAGGTTAACAAGGCTACTACTCCAGGCCTCAGGGCCTCAGGGAAGGGCCGGTGATGATAAAGAGCTGGAATGGCCCAAATGTGGATACATGAGACTGGAGCAGAGGATGCTGACAGTGTCTCAAGGGTTCATTGAGGCCACAAATGAGCCTGGACATGATTCTGTGGCATGGGGTCTGCTGCCTGGAGGTGGTGTGCCTGCTTGCGTTTCCAAAAGATTCCTGATTGCTGTGTGGCGAATGGACCTGGAGAGGGAGGTCAAGAGGTGGGTCAGAGAGACCAGCGAGATTTTGTACAATAGTTCAGCAAGCACAGAGGTCCTAGGGTGGTGGTGGTGGAGTCAGAGGGAAAGCAGATGTTGGGTGGGATGTGAGATGTTTGGGTCTTGCAAGAAGCAGGTGGGTAGAAGATGGTGCCATTTACCATCATAGGAACCAGTTTAGGAGGCCCAAAAGGGACTGATGAGGAGGGTTAAGAGAGTGGGGTTTGAGATTAAGAGGGCCCTGGGGGCCCTGGGAGAGTCATGGTGTCATTGGTCCCTAAGTCTTTCCAGCGCTCAATGTGTCTGAGCAGAAGTACTAGGGCTGCTCCATACAATGGGCAGGTGCGGCTGGCGGCTGCCCCCTCACCTTGCCCCGCCCCCTCACCTGGCCCCTTCTCCCGCAGGGCAGTCCGGGCTCTTTGTGACCACACTGCTGCGGGACCAGACCAGCTGAGCTTCCAGCGTGGGGACGTGCTGCGTGTCATCTCCACGGTGGACGAAGACTGGCTCTGCTGTGGGCGGGATGGAGTGGAGGGGCTAGTGCCTGTGGGGTACACCTCCCTTGTACTGTAGCTCTGGGCGCCCCCCCCTCACGTCCCCCTCCTGCCACCTGGGGATGGGATGGCCCTTGAGCACTAATCCATGTAAACCAATCATCCCAGAAGCATTTTCCTGTCTGAAAAATGCCCTTTTCTTCCCACATCCATTTCTAATAATTAAAATAAGCTTTTCCTCTCCCCACTCATGCCCATCTGTAAGGTGAAATCTGCCCTTCTTCCAAATATATATAAAGGAATTCCTCAGTACACCATGTCTTTCTCACCTCTACAAGTCTTCCTATCTGCAGAACAGCGCTCTCGCCCCCTTGCCCATTCATCTTTAAGTGGACTGTGCCAGTACAGTTATCTGCCTCAGTTCCTGAGACCAGAAGGGCCTCTCGCCCCCTTCCTGTGTATGGAATCTTCCCTTCTCCATCTGCTCCATTGCTGTATTTATTGATCACTCATGCTGTAGGAGGTGCTGAAACTTGGACACCCCTGGTGGGTGGGCTTGTGGTGTTGATCTGTCTCTAAACCATTGTCCCAATAAAGTGTGGGAGCTGAATGTGTATGTGTCACTGGGTTTCAGGGCACAGGCTGAGGGGTAGAAGGGCCCCAGGAGAGATGCTTCCATTTTTAGTTCATGGTCCTTTTTCTGTTTTCTGAAAGCAGGGAGAAGTGGCAAGTTGCCCCTGATGTAAGTCTGAGAAAGCCACTGTGATCTGAGACTTGTAAGAGTCTGAGTAAACATGGGGAGGCCTTGAGGCCTGGTGGCACAGTGGTTGAGCTCTTAGCTGCTAATCAGTGGTTCAACCTTGCTCCACAGTGGAACGATCTGTTAGTGTGCATCCATAAAGATTGTCATTGTGTACCACTAACCCATAACAAACTGTGGCTGACTCTGAGAAGAATGGGAATCCCAGAACATTTAATTGTGCTAATACGAAACCTATACTTGGACCAAGAGGCAGTAGTCAGAACAGAGCAGGGTAACACTGCATGGTTCAAAATAGGGAAGGGTGTACGCCAGGGATGCATCCTGTCTCCATACCTTTTCAACATGTATGCAGAGCAGATTATCCGAGAGGCTGGGCTCTATGAGGAGAAGTGTGGCATTAGGATTGGTGGAAGATCTATCAACAATCTCCGTTATGCAGATGACACAACCTTGCTTGCTGAAACTGAGGAGGACCTCATGCACTTGCTGCGAAGGGTCAGGGACTGCAGCCTTCAGTATGGACTAAGGCTCAACGTCAAGAAGACAAAGATTCTCGCCACTGGACCAATTGGCAGCGTCAGGATGGATGATGAAGAGATTGAGAGTGTTCACAGCTTCACTTTGCTCGGCTCCACAGTTAACACTCTTGGTACCAGCAGTCAGGAAATCAAAAAGCGTATCGCGATGGGAAAGTCTGCCGTTAGGGACCTCTCAAACGTACTCAGGAGCAACAGTGTCTCTCTGGAGACTAAGGTGCGCCTGATACAGGTCATGGTATTTGCAATCGCTTGTTATGCATCAGAGAGTTGGACAATGACTAGGGAGGACAGAAGGAGAGTGGATGCTTTTGAGCTGTGGTGCTGGAGAAGGGTACTGAATGTACCCTGGACTGCCAGGAAAACAAACAGATCCATCTTGGAGAGGATTAAACCAAGCTGCTCCTTGGAGGCAAGGATTCTGGGGCTTCGTCTGACATACTTTGGACATGTTGCCAGGAGGGACGGGTCCTTGGAGAGGGACATCATGCTTGGGAGGGTGGAGGGACAGCGCAGGAGGGGAAGACCCTCTATGAGATGGATTGATTCGGTGACTGGGGTAATCGGGATGGGTGTGTCAGAGGCGGTGCGGTTGGCGCAGGATAGAGCAGGGTTTAGAGCTGTTGTGCATAGGGTCGCTATGAGTCGGAAACGACTCGATGGCACATAACACCACCACCACTAACCCATAACTGAACCTCTGGCAGATTTCCAGAGGCAGTTAATCACATGGGACTAGATTGTCCATCTTTCTCCTGTGGAACAGCAGATGGATATGAACCATGTTCCTTTTGGTTGCCAGCCCAACTCCTTAACATGAAGCCATCACAGCCCCCTCCCTAAAGATCACAGCTTTGGAAATCCTATAGTGCTGTTTCACATTATATGATCACTATGAACTGAAATCAGTTCCGTGGCGATGGGCTTGGTTTCTTTTACCCTTGCCTTGGAGAATTTAGCTCTTGAAATTGTACTTAGATGTTTATTTGAAGTGAAGAGGATTAAAGGGTTGGAGGAAATGATGATCTTTTCTATTTAAATGATATTGCCACTCTGTGGAGATACTTCTAAGAAAATGGAAAACAGCTCAGTATCTAATACTTCACTAGGATTTCCTTTCAAAATTGTGAAATAATGAAAATAGCGAAAAAGTGCTTTAAAAGTTTGAGAGTACAAAGAATACAATGCAAACTTTGAGCTCTGGCCAACACTAATTACTAGGTGGTCTCTGGGGAGTTACTTAACCTCCTTACTTTTTGTTTCTACAAAATGGGGGCTATTAAAAAAATGGGGACCTTTTAAAGAATTAACCAGGCACGTGATACTGGGGCAGTTCCTTAATCTCTTGCTGCTTTGTTTCCCTACCCATAACAGTGGGACACGGTAAGCTACAGTGAGTCTTTTAGGATTAAAGAAACATGAATAGTTTAGAATGGAAATGGTCTAACATACCTCTCAAACCCCACATCTACCCTCACTGACTCGTAACAACTGTCTAAAGCTGTCCGTCTTTAGAGGAGAGACGACCTATCTCCTCACACATGAGTGGCTGGTGGATTTGAACTGCCAACCTTGCAGTTAACAGTGTGACACATTACACCCAGGGATCTCTGGTCTGATACTTAGTGGCCTAAAAAATGTGGTCTAAATTTTTTGTTGCCAACTTTGGAAGGCAATGTTCTTTTCAGGTGCCGTTGAGTATGATTCAGTGACCCTATTAGAACAACTGATCCTATTCTATGATGAGTGTGTCAAGCACTAGAGGGAAGATGTTTGTCTGCATAAGGGAGGGAGGGATAAGGTGGCATGGATGAACATGATAGGTGGTGAGGCTAGGGTGAGAGGAGAGCAAACCAAGCAAAAAGCAATGGCCTTCGCTCCAGCTGCCAACCCTGAGTGACTGCCTGTCTGTGAAGCCCAGGAAGCTAATTAATGTAGTTTTAGGAAGATCCTTCTAGAAAAAGGCCTGAGGCTGTTGGGGGGTGGAGGAAGTGGGGGTGGATGGGATGGAGATCCAGGAAGATAAATGGAGTGCAGTAAAAAGAAAAGAAAAAAAAAGGCAAGTCACCACTCCACAGTTAGGAAAAGTTTTTCCATTTAATACTAGACTTTCAAGGATTGAGATGCAAGCTTTTTATGCAATTACATCCAATGTTAAAATTGGTAATACATAATTTACAAAGATTAACATCAAAACAATCATCTATTTAGATATGCTTTTGTAAAAAGGAAATATATTAGCAGCATTTATATTTTCCGCAATCACACAGCCTACAGACATGCAGACTAACTGTATCTATTTGCAGTGATGTAGTGCTTTGCCCCGCATTTCAAACACCAAAACCCGCCTGGCAGCTGGGGGGTTCTTTTTATTTCGTTATTATAAAATAACTGAAAAATAAAAAAGGCATTAATTTCTACACCAGTAAGAAAAAACAAGTTTTTGCACTTACCTAACATTTGATTGTCTAAAAAACATTTAAGTTTTTAGTCTTTCAACAAAAGAAAGATAAAATGACAGAGCGTAGTGTCTTTTGCTTCTGTTCTCACATTTTACAAAGTTTTTTTTTTCTTTTTATGTCTTTTTAAAATCTTAGTGTTTAACACTATTAAAGGAAACATTGAGTTTTAATGATCTCTTTCTTGTTATTTTCCTGCTTTTGACTAAAAGGAGACCCCAAAGTGCCCCGTCCCCACCTCCCTCCCACCCTCTCCCTGCAATGAAAACCAAAAGAAACCACTCAAACGGGCTTGGACATGTGACTTTCCCAACTCCACACGTGAGTATCTTATACCCAGGTCTCTTAGTAATGTATAGTGCTTCTCTACAGTAAGAAAATACTCCAAACTATTTTCTTAATTCTCTTTTTTCTTTAATAAAATATTTATTCTGCTTTTTTCTCTGCTCAAGGGGATCTTTGGCATCCCCTGTCTTTTGTTTTGTTTTGTTTTTCCCTCAGATTGACAAAGAAAGGAGGTAAAAGAGAAAGAAAAATTCAATGGAATGGAAGGTTGTGAATGTTTCTACCTAAACGAGTCAGAGCATAGTCCTCATAAGGGGAAATGTACAATTAGGACAGCATTGGTCCGATTATTAGAAAAAAGTAATGGGGACATGTTTACTATTGTATTGCTTACCAATCACGCAGCAGATATATATATGTATAATATATATACACAACTTGGCACATTTAAAAACCATCTTTTCTCTTATAAGAACATCTAAAACGTATATGCATACGTATGTCTGAGAAGACAACAAAGCAAAGCTTTTAAAATTTTATTTTTAAAGAGACAGTATAGTCTGGTAACTTCTGGCCAAGAGAGTGGGAAGGAGGGAGACACCCTGGATATCCCTCCTGGTGAAGAAGTCTCTCAGGAGGGTGGGGGAGGTGGGACTGGGGAAGGGAGAGCACACTGTCTCTTTAAGAGATGGACATTGAAAACTGTACAATTAAGAACACAGG